CACTGCAGGCCCTGGCACTGCGGGTCCTGGCACTGCGAGTGGCAGCTGCTGAAGGCCATCAGTGAGCAACACAGCCCTGCTGGGCTTTTGGTGTTTCAGTAATGAGAGTTCTGAGCAGCGCTGAAGGGTATGTGCTGCTTAGACCTGCCGTTCTGAGCCCGCAGTTTTCTCTTATAAAATGATTCTTTATGTGAAAATACTAGAAAATGGTTGTAATTGCCGCAATAATCATGGATATTATTCTGTGATGGCCTCTCATCTAATCCAGTGTGTGTCTTTGTGTACGTGTGTACAGTTTAATGTTATCTCTAGCTATGGGGCATCCACCCAAGAACGAAAAGCGTAACAGCGATGGGCAGAGTCACGATCTGTCCCAGGTAAGGCCGTGTCCTGACGTCCAAGACCTGCAAACGCGTTGTCTTGCACAGCAGAGTGGGCCTTACAGACATGGTGAATTCGGGCACCTGCAGCTGAGGAAGATATTTTGGACTCTCAGAATAGCCCAAAGTAATTGCAAGAGCTTTCCTGAGGAAGCTGAAGTTTTCAGAGACTGAAGGCTTTCTTAGGATGAGGGAAGCAGAGGTCAGCCGGAGGGCCAGGAACCCAGCGATGGAAAGCGGCCTCTAGCCGCTCGGGAAGGAATGCGTTGCTCTCAGGCCCCGACAGCGCAGCCCTGCTGGCGTCTTGCTTTTCAGCTGAGTTTCAGACTTTGGACCTCTGGAACTACAGTACATTTGTGGTGGCTGAAACCACGTAGGGGGGCAGGCAGGGGGATCGGGCAGCCGCACGTGAGGAGCTGAGAGCGCTGCCTAACTCAGCTTGCCCAGATACGGCTGTCTCGCTCTGACTCTTCGGCCGACTGCAGTTGGCTGGCCAAGCAGGAGGAGGAAAGAGAGTCCGAGAGCCAGCACAGCTGAGGGTCGTTAGAGTGTCCCGGGTCAGCGCAGGCGGAGCCCCTGGCCAGCTATGGGGACATCTGGACCAAGGATGGAACAGTTTGCAGGGAATTCTGCTTTGCTTGGATTTGGTTCAGCGCGATTCCCCTCATGAGGGATTTGAATTCGTTTTACACATCACAACTAGGCCAAGTCGAGTGGACCCTTAAATAGTAAATTATTCCACTCTGGAGAAATACTAATTTTCATAAGGGAAATGCCTTCAAACATAATTTAAAAGCTATGTCCAATTTTTCCATATTTTGCATCTCTATTGGGCTGGTGACTTCTATCAGGACAGTGCAGTGTCTGAGGATAATACCCTCTTTTTCTTTTATCCTTATACAGAGAAGTGGAGAACTATTTAATCTGCTAGGTAATTTATAGTCGTACAGCTGAAGGCATGATACTGCTGTGGTAATAATTTGTTAAAGAAGGCCATATGTAGAAACAAAATTAGATCAAGTTTAGGTTTTGGAGGGATTTATATTTTTACAGTGCCATTTTCTACTTTCTGTCATTATTGGTTACCTTCTATGAATAAAGCATTTTACTGAAACAAAGGAGCTCACCAGTCCCTGGACAGCCTGTAGCTGTGCTGCTCTGGTTTTACTTTCATGGACTTTGGTTTCTTCATGTGGAAAATTCAAAGGTGTGCTAACTATGGTGCCCTGCCTTTGTTATTCTGGTTTTCTAAGGTTCCACAAAGGCTGTTATATTTCTAAGAAAGAATAGTGAGATATGGGGCTGGTGAGATGGCTCAGTGGTCTAAAGCACCTACTTGGAACAAGCTTAGTAAACCACAGGGACCATGGTTCAATCCCCCAGCACCACATGCCAGCCCGCCCCGCCCCCTGGTGGGGTGAGCTGGCCACACACACACACACACACACACACACACACATAATAAAAAAAAAAAAAAAAGAATAGTGAGATAAACCATGCTGTAGAATTCTGGAGATGCTTTCCATGTTATATTCCTTGAGAAGTGAGTCGTGGTACCTGGGAGCACACTGATGCATACAGACCCTCAGCCGATTGGTTGGCAGTGACACTCAGTAATTGTGTGCCTCCTTTGCTCCTCTCCTTTCATGGAACCACATGTAGCTAGAGGTACCAGAAAGAGGCCAGCTTTTATAAAGAAGTATACATTACAGAGACGGGGGAGTGGAAGTCACATGCCTTGACAAAATAGCAAGTGTGGACAGAGGAGGGTTAGTAGGAAATAAGGCTGAATGGGTCAGTGGGGGGGCTCTGCGATTGCTTGGATCAGACTGCTGTGACAACTTAGGCTTGGAGTTGTGTGCTCTGAGCTGCAGCATAGAAAAGTAATGCCACACAGCATACTGTTCAATGGGACTCCTCTGGCTTCTAGATCAAAAGTAGATTTTACCATGATGAGGGCAAAAGCAGGGAGAACCCCAGGAGCTTCTCTCAGTGTTCTAGGAGACAGGTGACGGTAGCCAGGACCAGAATGGCAGTGGTGGGGCAAAGGGTGATGTTCTTGGGATGTTTTGAAGTTTAGGCAGACAGATTTGCTAATGTACTGGATGCGAGCTGGAGAGAAGGAAGTTAGCAGGAACGGTTTGCATGTGAAGGGCAGAGAACAGAAAAGTGAAGGAAATGAGGAGTGCGATTCTTGGGTATGTTAGGTTTATGCATTAGTAGAAGTTCAAGTGGACAGCTGAGTACAGAAGTCTGCCATTCAACATGAGTTCTTTTGTGAAATGTTCTGTCTTGTCCTTTTAGTCTGTAGAGGAGTTTGCACATTTCATATCAACTAATAAGAGCATTTTATGATTTAATAGAATTAATCCTTTGTATATATGTTGTAAATGTTTCTTCTAACTATTGATTTGGTATATAATTTTGTTTTTAATTATGGGAAATGTAAAATTATCCCAGAATCAAATATTTTCTGTGTTAATTTCTTCTTTGTTAGTGTTATTTTTCATATATTACTCCACTACATGTTCACTTACTGTATTATGATATTAATGGCTCTTAATTCTTGATTTTATTGGGAATCTATTAGAGTATTTGGAGTG